TTTTTTTAGGTGGAGTCTCACTCTGTCTCCAGGCTGGAGTGAAGTGGCGCAATCTCGGCTGGCTGCAACATCCGCCTCCCAGGTTGAAGCAATTCCCCAGCCTCAGCCTTCCAAGTAGCTGGTACTACAGGCTCGTGCCACCACGCCCAGCTAATTTTTTTGTATTTTGAGTAGAGACGGGATTTCACTATGTTGGCCAGGATAGTCTCGATCTCTTGACCTTGTGATCTGCCAGCCTTGGCCTCCCAAAGTGCTGAAATTACAGGTGTGAGCCACTGCGCCCAGCCCCAAGTTGTTTGATTTTTTAAAAGATAACATTTATTGGGGAAGTAAGAGCTTTATTGTAAAAATATACACTTTCACTGGAGAAACATGGAAAATAATTGCCATCATTTGTTGAGGATACATTGTACTATGGGCCAGCATAACTTAACAACTCTATGAGGCTGGGCTCTGTCACTTAATAGCTAGCTGTTCCTGCTCAAGATACGTCACTTACCAGAGTCTCAGTGTCCATACCTGTAAAGTAGAGATACTAATAGAATCTACCTCCTAGGATTATTGTACAAATTGAATTTCCCACAATGTGGCACCGGCCCCAGCATTAGTGGGGACAACAGCTGAAAAAAAAAAAATATATATATATATATATATATATATATATAATTTGTTAAAATACCTATAATGTTGTTACATTATTGCTTCTGAAAAGGCATTTTTCTTTTCTTTCTTTGCTCATTTATTTATTTTTACAGACAGGCTCTCTCTATATTGCCCAGGCTAGATTTGAACTCCTGAGCTCAAGGGATCCTCCTGCCTTGGCCTCCCAAGTAGCTGAGACTATACCCTCTTGCCACCATGCCCAACTCAAAAAAAGAAGAGTTTTTGGTTTGGCACAGTGGCTGAAGCCTATAATCCCAACACTTTGTGAGGCCCAGGTGGGTGGATCACCTGAAGTCAGGAGCTTGAGACCAGCCTGGCCTACATGGTAAAACCCTGTCTCTCCTAAAAAACACAAAAATTAGGCCAAGTGCGGTGTCTCATGCCTGTAATCCCAGCACTTTGGGAAGCTGAGGCAGGTGGATCACCAGAGGTCAGGAGTTCAAGACCAGCCTAGCCAACATGGCGAAACCCCATCTCTACTAAAAATACAAAAATTAGGTGGGCATGGTGGTGGGCACCTGTAATCCCAGCTACTCTGAAGGCTGAGGCAGGAGAATCACTTGAACCCAGGAGGTGGAGGTTGCAGTGAGCCAAGATCACACCACTGCATTCCAGCTTGGACAACAGAGCCAGACTGTCTCAAAAAAAAAAAAAAAAAAGAAAAAGAAAAGTTGTTTTTTTTTAACCTATATTTATCTTCCCACATCTTAGAAGGTCTGGAAATCTCTGAGGTCTCCAGGCTGATAGAAGACTTGAGTGTTGTGAAGGCTTTGGAGACGCATCCAATCACTTCCAAGCTGGAAGGATTCCCTCCGAACTCCTGAGATGGCGTCGCCCAGCCTCTTCTTGATCGCATATACTGGTGGCTATTCACTGCCTGATTATGGTGCCTGGGAGGAGGGTGGTCCTGAGCAAGGCTATTTCTGGACCTGTTTCCCACCTGCAGGGTGAGGAAGTCGACCCCAGCTCTGGGGCTAGGTGGCTCTGAAAGTCTATTCTTGAGAGTAGACAGAGTCTACTTTGCTTTTAGGTCATTTTCTGAAAGATTCTTATCAGTTATGAGCCCTCTGGGGTTAAAGAGTTTATTGAGTTCTATCAGCTCAGGAAATAAAAGGTAAATAATAAAGGAGAAAGAGTTCCTCCAAATCTCTTTAGCAGAATAAAAATCTAGCTCTTTCTCCCACCTTCCCCCTTCTCCACCCACATCACCACCACCTTAGATGAAAACTCATCATCTATAGCTTAGCCTGGTATTTGGAGCCGTCCTATTCTGGGTCCTGCCTTTCTCATGTTCCAGAAACCGTGACGTTCTTCCCTACGTTCTGGCCTCTCCTTCCAATGAGAACATCCTCTCTTGCCTCTTCCATTTGGGAAAATTCCCATTCGATCCTTCAACCAGTTCAAATGTCCCCTCCCCCGTGAAATCATCTCTGATTCATCCCCACTCCCTCACAAGCAGAATCACACTCTACCCTCCACTCTCTGAAAGCCCAGCTGCCATTATAGCATTCTTTTGTTGTTGTTGTTGTTGTTGTTGTTGTTGTTTGAGACAGAGTCTCATTCTGTTGCCCAGGCTGGAGTGCAGTAGCGGGATTTTGGCTCACTGCAATCTCCGCCAACGGGTTCAAGCAATTCCCGTGCCCCAGCCTCCCGAGTAGCTGGGATTATAAGTGTGCACCACTACACTTGGCTAATTTTTGTATTTTTAGTAGAGATGTGGTTTCACCATGTTGGCCAGGCTGGTCTCGAACCCCTGACCTCAGGTGATCCGCCCACCTCTGCCGCCCAAAGTGCTGGGATTACAGGCTTGAGCCACCACACCTGGCCCATTATAGCATTACTTACTCAGCTTTGTGATTTTAATATATGGGTCTCCCTGCT